TTTTCAAGTCTAGGCTCCACTTTCAATTCAGGTTCTGCTGATGCTCATTAAGCTGACAAATCATCTTGTGTATATGTATATCCAACCTCTCTTCTTGTTATTTCCTATGGTGTCTCTGTGCTTTTCTAGTTTTATCTATTTCTGAAGGTTGCATCACCTCCACCATCACTTAGCATCAAATTTTCTTTATTCTTCACTCAGCATCAGCTTTTCCACTCATGTTCAGATCTTCACATAAGTGCAGTGATAACATTAGATTCATTTCCTGCTCACATTTTTAAAGACTTATTTGTTTATCTGAAAGGCAGAGGTACAGAAAGAGATAGAGACAGAGAGAGAGAGAGAGAGAGAGAGAGAGAGAGAGAGAGAGAGAGAGAGAATCTAGCATCTGCTGGTTCACTCCCCAAATAGCTGCAATGGCCAGGGTGGGCCAGGTTGAAACTGGGAGCCAGGAGCTTCTTCCAGGTCTCTGACATAGATACAGGTGACCAAGCACTTGGGCCATCTTCTGCTGCTTTCCCAGGCATATTATGAGGGAGCTGGATCCTAAGTGGAGCAGCCAGGTCTTGAACCAGCACCCATATGGGATGCATACATTGCAGGCCAAGGCTTAACTCCACCTCATCACAATGCCAGCTCCTCTCTCTCCCTCTCTCTCCCTTTCAAATAAAAATGAACAAAAATAAAAGGGTGAAAATGACCATACCAGAATAGAGTCCAAGGTTTATCTGTTCATGGGAGGCTTTCTCTTTTTGGAAGATTTATTTATTTATTTGAAAATCATAATTATACAGAGAGAGGAGAGACAGAGAGAGAGAGTGAGGTCTTCCATCTGATGGTTCACTCCCCAATTGGCCACAATGGCTGGAGTTATGCAGATCCAAGGCAGGAGCCTCGAGCTTCTTCCAGGTCTCCCATGTGGGTGCAGGGGCCCAAAGACCTGGGTCATCCTCAGATGCTTTCCCAGGCCATAGCAGAGAGCTGGATTGAAGTGGAGCAGCAGGTCTCAAACTGGCATCCATATGGAATGCCGGTGCTTCAGGCCAGAGCATTAACTTACCACACCACAGCACCAGCCCCCATGGGAGGTTTTCAAGCTGGAACTTGTGGGTGGCATTTACACATTTTTGTAGGAAAGAACTTGATTTGGCCTGCATGTGTCATGTCCATGCATTGCCCTATCCGTGCAGCCAGGAATGAGAAGGGCACAGTACAAACACAGCCCCAAAAGGCCACAGTACCTGTGTCTGTGTTTGTCTCTCTGTGTTTGTGTGCTTGTGTGCACCTGCTGTGAGGTGAGAACAGTGTTCAAGCTGAGTTACCTGGAATCATTATTCCAAGGTGACAATGTTACTCAGACAAGAACTCAATCAACATACGGTACTTAGAAGGAATCCTGTTCAAATCAGTGGTTGCCTTTTCAAACACAATGATAAAGTCTAATGGTGGATATTAGAGAATGGAAAGTGAAATGTGGGCCAGGGGTGGAGAAAGCTTGTTCTGTGCTCACTAGGTTACAATTAGGGAGAAGTAAGACATTGCTGGGTTCTGTTGCAAGGTAGGGCAACTATAGATCATGGAAATGCATGGTGAATTTCTCTGAAACAGAACTAGAAGGTAGGATTTTGGATGTTTTAGACCCTGAAGAAATGCCCCATTTTTGAGTAGATAGATGTATGCACCCATAGACACACCCTGATTGGACACAACACAAGCTAGGTAGGTACTCACATATCACGTAGGAGCTCAAAAATTTCTACATCTATTTACATTTTCTAATATTCAAAAGGATTTTAATTTTAGAAAACTGAAGAAATATAAATAGTAAAAATATTTAATCTCAAAAATGTGAAAGAAAGAGTGGGAAAGGGAGGGATGGAGGGGAGAGAGAAGAGGAGGGGGGAGAGAGAGAGGAGAAAAGGAGAGGAGGAATAGGAGGCTGGGAGGGATATATCATTCTATTCTTAGGATTGTACCCATGATCTTTGTTAAATCTGTTCTCTTTATGTTAGAGTAAATAAAGTTAAAAATGAATGAGATGCAAGAGGCTCCCGTGAGGATGAGGGAGTCTGTGTTGACACAGACATCCTGCGTCCCCCACCCCACCACTCTCCCTCTTGCTCATCACCACTGCCATCCTCACTTCCTTGGAATGCTCCTGTTCTGTAATAACAGCCACCAGGGGGCCTTGGCACTCATCATGTCCTTGATGTGATCCATACTTCCACAAATCACCTCGTGGCTGTGGATCTCTGGGCAATGACCCCCAGTTTCTAGTCCTACTTGAACAACTAGAAAAGAACACCCTAGACCCATTCTCCTTTATAGCTGCTTCCATTTTATTCACAGCATTTATTTGTTCTCTTATGTTCCATCTCCATCACTGGGATGTAGACAATTTTGTTCTTCTAAAATATTAGACTTCTGACTGACCAATGCTTGAAACATGATTAGAAGTCAATTTATACAGTTCAACTGTAGGAAATCATTACTTATTAAAATAGTAGAATACATACATGCACTTTAGGGAAAATGCTAAGTGGGAAAGAAACTCTGCTCAGAGATGCTAGTAAGAAATTTCAAATGGACTAAATGAGTCCTACAGGGACCAGATCCATGCACAGTGTATATAAATCAGTGTTTGCCTGCAACATATAAATGGTAGAATTTCCCCAATGTGAGCAATGGCTCCTCAGTGATCATGTAATTATCTCTTTCCTGGTAGTCGTCTCAACCAATGGCATCAGGGAATGATTCACAAACATCAAGATTTCTTCTCCTGGGATTCTCAGAGGACCCAGCACTGCAGCCACTCGTAATTGGGCTCTTCCTCTCCATGTACCTGGTCACTGTGGCTGGGAACCTGCTCATCATCCTGGCCATTCTCTCAGACCCCCACCTCCACACGCCCATGTACTTCTTCCTCTCCAACCTGTCCTTGGTGGACGTCTGCTTCACCTCCACCACCGTTCCCAAGATGCTGGTGAACATCCAGATGCAGAGCAAAGCCATCAGCTATGCAGGTTGCATCACCCAGATGTTCTTCTTCCTGCTTTTTGCAGGGCTGGACAACTTTCTCCTGGCCGTGATGGCCTATGACAGGTTTGTGGCCATCTGTCACCTCCTGCACTACATGGTCATCGTGAATCCCCGGCTCTGTGTGCAGCTGGTCCTGGTGTGCTGGGTCATCAGTGTCCAGCATGCCTTGTTACAAAGCTTAATGGTGCTGCGGCTGTCTTTCTGCGTGCCCCTGGAAATCCATCACTGTTTCTGTGAACTGAATCAGGTGGCCCATCTTGCCTGCTCTGACACTTTTCTTAATGACATGGTCATATACTTCATACCTGTGCTGCTGGCTGTTGGTTCACTGGCTGGGATCCTGTGCTCCTACTCTAAGATCATCTCCTCCATCTGTGCAATCCCCTCAGCTCAGGGGAAGTGTAAAGCATTCTCCACGTGTGCCTCTCACCTATTGTTGTCTTATTCTATTGCACACATCTAGGTGTCTACCTCACTTCATCTGTTAGCCACAACTCACACTCAACTGCCATGGCCTCGGTGATGTACACTGTGGTCACCCCCATGCTGAACCCCTTCATCTACAGTCTGAGGAATAAAGACATAAAGAAGGCTCTGGAAACTACACAAGGGTCCATTGCTCTGGAGCTAAGAAAGCAGTGATAATCATAGGACTCAAATGCCTGGACCAGAAATCCTGATTCCATGACTAGATTGTGAAAGTAGAATTTTTCCTTCATTTTGGTTCCTGGAGTTGTGTTACTCTGATTTCCACCTGTCTAACTTGAGCAACTTGCTCATTAAGGCTTCTGCTCTCTTCGGTATCTAAACATCTTTCCTTTTCTTACTTTCCTGCTTTCCCAAAGACTTCCCAAACATAGAAGCAGTTGGAATTCACCATTGTCTCATGGTATGGTAGAATATTTTAAGAATAAGTTCTCTACACATGGTGTGTTCATACTGAGTACACTTTTGTTTGTTTTACTGAGAAACATTTTATGTTTTTTGCTACTCCCACAGTCAGACTACAGCTGGCAACTGAGGTCATTTACTGATGTAGGTTAGGAAAATCTGAGGCCACTGTCTTTCTCCTTTATCTCCATCATTCCTGGGTGTATCACTAACGGCTCTTCCCGATAGCGGAACTTAATACATCTGTGTCTTTTCTAACTGGTCATTGGCTTTGGGCTTTGATTCTCTCCTTTAGGCTCCTGTTTCTGTTTTATATCCAAGTGTCTCCCTCAACCAGTGCTCAACAGGCGCCTCCTGGAATCTACGCCATCATGTTCCTTAGATGTGTTTATTGTCATCATTATCAATTATGAATCCATATCGATTTGTAATGATAAACAGGAGTGGAGGTTTTTTTTTTTTTTTAAAGATCCTTATTTATTTGAAAAGCAGAGAGAGAGAGAGAGATATGAAGTGGAGATTGGAAGTGGAGAGAACTGGATCGGAAGTGGAGCAGCTGGGACTCAACATTGCCATATGGGATGCCAGCACAGCAGTCAGTGGCTTCCCTGAGCTGGTTCTGACGTCACACCTCCGTGCCTGCCCTGTGCTGTCCCCTGTGCATAGCTGGTGCGGTTGTGCACAGAGGTCTCTGACCTGAACACTCGTGAGATTGGCGCGTAGACGTCTCTGGACTCCACTGCAACTTAGTGCAGCACCCTGAACTGCACCCACAAAACAACTGGTAGAGGAGGTCTCTTCCCCCCATCCCCGAGACTGGGGGTGAGCGCAACCAACACAAAGGAGCAGGTCTACGTGACCCCGCTGCCTGCTGCCCAGGACAGACAGAACCAGGTCCTGCCCGGGCTCCAAGTCACAAGGCAGGGAGACAGGCTGAGGATGGAAAGACGGCAAATCCCTGGGAAAGGCTCTGAGAAACGCTGTGACGTCACCGCCGTGACGTCATCGCGTTTCCTGCTCTTCCTCATGCTGGACCTTCCTGCTCCCGTCATGGCGGCCTGAGGGTTCCTTCAGATGAAGCCAGATCGGGGCGGCGGCGGGGGAGGGGGGGTCTCCTCGGGTCGGGCCTGCCGGGCCTCCCTGGCGGTGCGCCCCTCAGGTGGGGTCAGCCACGCAGGCCGACGCC